AAGTTTAATATCTATTTTGGTCTCTTGGTTTGTTAGGTGTGTTCTTACCTTTCTTCAAAAGTTCACAAACATCTTGTATTTTGTAAAAATGGTTCACCTTAGTCCGCAATGACTAACTGAACAAGCCATTCAATTTTGGTCAGGAGTAACTCTGTTGTTAGCGTTTTTAACGCCGTAAGCAAAAAGATCAGCTTGAACCGTTTTTACGAAATATGGAATGTTTGTGAACATTTGAAAAAAAAAATGTATGACCACTTTGAACACACCTAACAAACTGAATGACCAAAATAGATATTAAACCTCAAAAAAAATATAAAGATTATATTAAGTCAAATATAAATATAAGGAAAATATTAAATCATTAATAGATATAAAGAAAAAAATCTATCAAATAAAAAATAAAATATATCTATGTTTTGTTAAGAATCTAAGAATGAAAAGTTGAATAGCATATTAACATGTAAGAAATAAAAACTGTAAACTCATTATTTTCAAATTTAAGTTGAAAGAAATGTAAGATATTTTATGTGTTTAACTCATATTACATTATCTTTTAAATCTTCCTTTCTCATAACAATTTACAAGTGAATTTTCAAAACCTTATCCTCTTGGCAATGAAATTTGTAAAATATGATTGTTTTATCCACTTGCAATCTTTGGAAGAAAAACCAAGACTTTTCAAGCCATAGGTTATGATGAACATCCTTGTCACATTTTCTAGCTTTAGGCCGCCACTACATGCATCCACCATCTTCTTTTGGTAGGTCCTTTTACTTTAACTAAGGATGTTGTTGTTTTCTTTGGAGCAAAGTAGCATATATACCCTTCAACCCAAAATCCATAACTTGATAACGTGCTTATAATAATCCTAATGAATTGATTGCACTTGTTTGTTCTCTTGAAAACCCAATAGCTTGGAGTTGACAAGGGTATGTGGAATCTCTCTTGCACAAAATAATGAAGTTTAGTTGGGCTATGTGGGCCATGTGAAGCAAAAGGTTTAGGCCCATGTACTTTGAAATTCCAATCCAAGTTGCTTCTTGAATGAGTAATTTAGAGATGCTTGCCTTTTCTCCACATGTTGTTTTGCTTCTCTTTTGTTCTCTCCTTTCCTTTTCATGGGTCAATAATGGCAGGCATTATCCTGTGGGAAATAAAAATGTGCATTGATGAACCTAACTTTGTACTTAAGAAAAGTTATGTGCTTTATGGCATCAACTAATTTTAGAATTAATGGGGGATTAGGTGCTCAAGTAATTCTCACTTAAAGTTACATTTTTTATCAAAAGAGGCATATTTTGGTTCATTATGAATAAAACCCCTTTTTCTCTCTTCAGCTTACTACCACCCAAAGATATTCTATTCACTTGAAGCACAACTTTTCTTATTTTACATTAAAAAAAAATTAAAAAGAGAGAACGTGTTGAGTTATTGACGATAGCATGAGGTACTACACAAAGGGAAGAGTTATTTAATGGATAATACTAAATTTTATGAACCTTATCAGAAGTTATAAGAATTAATCATTTCATATAAAATTCAAAGTTTGTCATTGGATTCGACTTTAATTTTATTGTTTGATATTGTGAGTATCAACGTCCGGAAAATTAAAAATTGGTAATGTAATTTGCTCTTCTGACAAAATAATTATTTCAAAAGAAATACTTTCAGCAGTAAATTAAATTACTGAATAAAATACAATTAAAAAAAAGGTGAAGTTTTAATCAAATATAATATTTAAAATTTACTTGGTAGGAAGAATATGAACAATTATAAGTTGGGGAAGGTATCAAATCAACATTTCTGACAAGTTTTCGCATAAATTAAGTATCCAGTTTTGTTGGTGTATGATGAAGAATTGAGACGTGCAACGACAAATCTATTTTGTGTTGGTTACACCCATAATTAGTAGGAAATCTTGTCTTTCTACATCAATTATAACTAAAATTGATAATTTTTAAATAATAATTTTATTTCAGTTCAATCATAAATGCATCTATTTATATCCTTCAAAAATACATAAAAATTAAAATTGGGTTCAAAATCATAAAATCAACTTATAATCAAAATTATATACTCCTAACTTTTCAAAATTTATAGATATCAATTATTGAGACACAATATTAATTAAATATAAGTTTAACTCACATAAAAAAAAATTCAATTTAATGTAAAATATAACTTTACTTGAATTGTCAATAATTTCTTTTTTATACGTGAATTTTTTTCATATCACAAATATTCTCTTACCTATATTCTTATTCATCTCAATGAACATGGTTAACTCTCCACTAAAAAGACTTTCGATGATAAAAGAATTTATCCAAATGTTAAATAACTCGTTTTTTCTAATTAATTGCAAAACACAAATTAATAAATTAATGAATTTATATAGTGTACAATATCATACATGTAAGTGCTTCAAGTAACAATAACAATTATATGTCATGTGTTCAATTATCTTTTACCATCAATTTGGAAAATATTTGTACTATTTAACTCTCTTTTTCTGTTTTTCTTTTCAAGAACGAGATTTGTTTTCTGTGTTAAATTATATATATTAAATTATATTCATACTTTTGAACTTTTTGAGTCCTACATTGCACTGATGAAAAGTAATGTAATGTATTTATGTTAGTGAGAGTTATCAACAAACTTCAGCAACAAAACTATTACAAATTTAATTCAATGACAAAAATTAAAAACAACTTTGTTTGTTTCATTTGTTAGTAGTCGTGGTTGTTAAGTATTTGTTTCAGCACTTTATATTATTTTATGTTAAACTTGTTTAGTTCCCAATTTTTTTATTTATTTTCATAATAGATTATAAAATTAGAAATGCGTTTCCATGTGGAAATGCGTTTTTGTGAGAAATATTTTTTTTTGTCTAAATACAAAATGGAAGCGGTGCTGTTAGCATTAAAAATAGAAAAACAATGGCCCAATAATAGGTAATTGCTTCTTGCACCCCCTTATTTCTTCTTGCATTTAATAGGCTTGATGAAATGACAGTTTTACCTTCTTCTTTCTTTTCATGCCCAGTCCATGTGTCTTATCACTGTGCCAAATGCACCTCTTCACCTCCATTCCTTATATTTAAAAAAGCACATAATTGTTTACTTCAATATCTTTTTGGTATATAAATATTACTTATTGTTTTTTTGTATAACTTAAAATTACATAATACTATATTGATATACCTGAAATTTAAAATGAAAATTATATATTGCATGAAATAAAAAATACCATATTTTTATCTCTATTTAACTTTTATAAGGCCTAACACAAATAATAAACAAATGAACATTAATACGAATCCATTTCTTACAAAAACAATTATAAGAGTATTCATGTAGATATGAGAGTCCAGACAATTCATTTATGTATTATCTATTTGATTCATTTGTGAGTAAATTCACCTTATTCATCAATTACAAAAATATTAAAAAATAATCAAATTAAATTGAGATTTTATTAAATTTGTATTTTTCAATATTTAATGGATGATCTATTAGTATTAAAAGAATCAAAATTAATTTACTCTTTAAAAAAAATCAAAACATATTTTTAAGTTTATTTTACAAAATTTAGTTTTGAAAATATTTTTAAAACATTATTTTCAATTTGTCAAATAGTATTCGTGTAAGGATATATTAGATATGGAAACAATATATTAACAGATAAATATAATTTACTTTTATTGAATATATTAAATTTTAACTAAAAGTTTAATAAACTAAATAAATTAATGATTTTCTTGTTCAAACTAAAACAAAATTGATCATTTTCATATGGTTTGTCACACCAACTGTAAAGTAGCAGATATTATAGATAACATTTTTTATTACTACTATTATTATTATTATAAATAATAACATCATTATTATTTTTATACTACTATTGTTTCTAATTTTTTATTATCAATATTGTTATTATTATTTTTATTACTATTCATTTTATTAGTAGTAGTAATATTTTTAGTATTATTATTGCTATTATTGAAGTGAAGAACATGTGCCCTATAAGAACCAGATAGAGTCCATTACACAATTCTTTGCCGAGGAGCAAGGGAATCAATATGTACCACCCAACCATTCATCCACCAAATTCATCTTCACTACTTTTTCAATTTACAAACTCATGTAACAGATTAACCTCTCTCTCTCTCTCTCTCTAAATCTCAGTTTTCATTCACAAGGGCTTAAAAAACATGGTTATCTGTGAACCACCGTTAATGAAAAATGAAAAGAAGAAACAGAAAACTTACCATTAATGAAAAAACAGATGAAATCATATTCAGATATATAGACATTCTGTATAAGAAGTTAGGAATCAAACAAGAGGGCATTGTCAATGAGAAAAACAGTATGCTGCATTCAGTGCTTCATATAAAGTCCAAGCTACTTTAACTACTGTGGAGGTTCACATTTGCATCAAACTAAGACTTCTTTCTGTTTTACTTTTTATTTCAAGCTGAAAAACAAAGTGGGGTGGTGGAGTGAATTTTGGAAATGGAACATTAAACATCATAGGAAAGTAGTTGTGGTAGCATACTAGGTATTCTAGGGCATGCAATAGAACATCTCAATCTCCTTCATATGGAATAAGAAGTGGATGAAATATTTGTAGGGTTGGTCGTGTATCTACACAACTTAATCATTCCTTTTATTTAGAGAACCTCCCACTCAGACTCAGATATATCAGTAAGCAGTAGTTTCTTGTGATCATTCTGTAAAGTTGGACATAAACTCTCTGCAAAATCATCCTTTTCATTGTTTCCATGCAACATTGCAAGCTCTTCATACTCTTTCCTCCTTGCAGCCTTCTTGGATAACAAAAAGGGTTGTCTCTTCTTGTTCTTCAAACATGAGAAAAAGGAATAAACATGTCAGAGCTTATATGCTCCAAAGAAAGGAGAGAGGGGAGGAGTATGTGTACCTTGCTAGTTCTTAGATTACCCTCTGCATCGAGAACTGATTCAAGTTCATCTCTAGTAACCATAACACAAGTTTCCACAAGCTTCAATTCATCATCTTGTTGCATAGTTTTATGGCCTTGCTCAGCTATAGTACCAATCTTTGGTACATCCAAATCCCATGTTTCTGTGATTTCTTAAATAATAAGAATTGTCAGTTAACTTTAGCTAAAAAATATCATGAAAGTGAATGACTGCCTGTTCCCTGAGAATGTTAACATAGGGATTACTCATAGACTTCTTTTATATGTCCAATACTTGAAAACAAAATCTACTGCAAACAGGTTTAGAGTTGCTGAATCTATATGCCAATGAAGACTTTGAACAAAATATTCCAATGAACTTGTTATGTTCAAGAAACCATTTGTTGAGTTAGTTTTCTACATATGTTATAAAATAACTAAGTTGTTTAAACAGATGCCACTTAGTACAGAAAACATTTTATCTTTAATTCATCAGTAGGTTATATAACAGGCAATGTCGGGAAAACTTCAACACATTCCCTATTTCTTAAAATTATTCTGACCTCACAAATACAACCATATGGGGATGCCTCAACATTTATTTTCATGCACCCTTTTGCAAAATCGGACCAAACCAGCCAGCACCAAGATACACTCCTTCAAATTCAACCAAATAGATGTGCACCTTATATAATAAACTCCAAAAGTACTTTTAAAGGGCATGCACACATAAACTGAGGACCTACTTCTTATGATTTGAATTGACACCTGAACTAAGAAAGTATATCAGAATGAGTTAATGGAATGAGATACAGTGATTGTGTGGTAAGAATAATTGTCAGGCTGATATGTTCTGACCCCTACCAGAAATATAATACAATTGTTACAGATCATCCTCAGAAGCTAAAAGTTATCAACAGGAAACAATGAAGGAAAAAATGAAACTTCAGCCAAGAGACGCTCAAATACTAACCATATGGATCTACAAACAAGACACAGGAATATGAACTACTATGCTTTTCTTTCCCTTCAGCTGATTCAGCCCATTCTAGATCATTGGGGATTTCTTCAGTGCTTGTATTTTCAATTTCATTGCAGCAGTCAGCTAAAGAGGCAATGGTAATTGATTCAGAGGAAGTTGGTTTTGAAACAGTGTCTGCATGATTTTCATTTATCCCGGAGAGTTCACATAATTGTGATGTATTGCGTGTATCTGTTTCTGATAAAGTGATTTCACAGGCACTCTCGGATGCAGGCATGCTTTTGTCTTGTTTATCACCACCGAGGTTTGATTTGTTGTAAACTTTGACCGAATAGCAAGAAGCTGCAATAAACAAAGCATTAGAATCACATGATTCGGCATGGATTACATCAATATCAACATCATCACTGATCCTTGAATCCTCGGTTGTTTGGTTGATACCATCATTTACAGTTATATTCCTGGAACCTTCAAAAGACTTCTCAGCTAAGCCAGCATCAGTATTTTGATTTATAGGCAACTCGGAGGCTGATGTTTCATCAAAATCACATGTAGGTAGAGGACGTAAATCTTGCATGACTTCTGAACAGATCTTTTTAACACTTTCCCCAACAGTCTGCATCTGATTCCCTAAGTACTTAACAGTTTCCTATCGCCAAAAAAGGGAAACAAAAATGATGACAGGATTACAGAAGTCAATTGCAGGCTAATAACTATCAGTCCGAAAACAACAGTTCAACCAGACTAGTGTTACACTAAACTATTGAAATCATACATAAATGAAAATTCAGAAAAATTATCACAGATTCCCATAAATACAGAAACAAATTTAATAATAGCATTGGCTCTCATGATTCAACTCTCAGTTTCATAATATATGTGGCAACTAAAATAACAAACACTATAGGCAGAACACTTTGGACATAAAAATCAAAGATGCAAAGCTGCAGCTCTACTAATAGCAGTGGAAGAATTAAGATTATAATATTAAGATTTCAATGACTTTTATAGCAGGTATTCGGCATGTCCAGGTGGGAGTAATTTATCTTTCCAGCTTCCTCATTTGAAACTATGAACATGCATATTCAAAGGTTAAGGATAAATAGCGACAAAGGTATACCTCAAACACTGCGTCGTCCACATCCACACAAATATCCTCAAACTTCTGGAACATGTTCCCAACCCATGTTATGCATTTCACACCCATAGCCATCACAATATACACTGACTGGAACAGTAACTAGAGCTATCCCTGTATGTCCAATATGAGAGAGGATACAAAATTGAACTTCAAGACGTTCAACCTGATTATCTTCTGCCAACAAATCAAGGGGAAAAAGCCCAGCGAAGAGCCTCATTAAATGTGCATTGATCAGAGAGTAATATTATAACAGCACAAAATGCATTGTAGATAAATCCCATCTCAGAACACATGTATTGAATAATCATTCAACTGGTTCCTACCTTACAGTGCCAAACTCAACAGCAACCTGTAAGAATAAACTAGCATCCTATAAACATTATGCCACGTCCACAATTCTGCAAAATCATACTACATCCTTCCAGTGATTCACTGTTTAAAAATCCTTTACTTTTAACTGTTTTCTCTTAAACAAAACAGAATGAAAAGTTAAGCAGATCAAAATCACCATAAACAAGGAAAGGATACAAACAAGTCAAAGAACGGTTAGAATGAAATAGAACACCATCTCCTCCATCCAAAAAGGGACTATCCCTCTAAAACAACAACTATCAAAATATGTGAACAAAAACCCAACTTGTAACCAGAACACATAACCCACTTAAAATATTACTCAAATAAATAAAAGGGTGGTGACAAAAACAAGAAAGTGCAACCAGAAGAGTATTTACATGTTGTAACGCGCACAGAAACAAGAGCAGTATCAGCGTCTGACTGAAGAAGTCATGAGAAGGATAAAGTAGTAAAATTGAAGAGAAATTGCAACCAAGAAGAAGAGTACTGTGGAGAGAGAGAGAGAGAGAGAGAGAGAGAGAGAGAGAGAGAGAGGGAAGGTAATAGGGTCAGCTCCACTGAGCCTTAAGATTGACATGTGGATTCCGATTTCTAAGTTAGCTTCTGATCATTGTTGTTCACTTTATCTGGGAGTGGACCCCACTTTCCATTTTTTATCACCAACCATACCATGACTGTTACCTTTTTGTACTACTATTTTGTTTTATTGTTTTACTTTGTCGTTTTTTTTACTTTCTTATATTATATGATTATTTGTGTGTGTAGAAAAGGTAAAACATTTATTTATCGAAAAGTTATTCTTTTTAAATTTACAAATGACCGAATTGGCTTTTCAACTGCATCAAAAAAGTTTCTGTGCATGAATTGGCTTGTCAATAAAATGTGCTGAGTTTCAGATTATAAAAAATATATATCAGACATTTATTATGGTTTTATCCAAGCTTTTTGCAAGTGAATTTTTCCAGTACAAAGGTCGAAGGACATGTTACTTGGATATTGAATTTATTGTTTCAAAATTGGCATGCTTTGAAAATTGTGTAAAAACAAAAAGATAAGTAGTTATCCTCTTTAACAGAAGGAAAGATACTGCAACTAGTTTCGAAGTTGACTTTCTTCAAATTTCACAACGAAGTTTGTTAAATTACTGAACTTTTAAGGATAGCAATTTTATTCTGATGTTTACCAATATTTCAACAAGCATTACGAATTTCAGAAAAATAACTTACTCAATATTTTTTCCAATGATCAAAACATCTTTGATAAAATATTAATGTAGTTCGGATGAAAGAATATTTAAAGTATAATAGATGCAAAAAAACCTTTTTCTCCTATGATATGTGCACCACTTGGATCGTTGAGTAGTTTTACTTTCTATTTAATCAATTTTATTGTTTTCATTCTTCTATGGGAAAAAAAATCCTTCCAGGCTGAAAAGCCCTTTATGTGTATTGTTTGGATATTTAATAACAGAATAGAACAAGATTTGATTTCGTTGTTTAAAAATGAAACAGATTAGTTAGAACAAAAATAAAATAGTTACTTTATGATGTAAAAGTAATAGTTTTATTTTTTCCATCAAGTACACTTGAAATCTAGAGAAAAATATCAGGGTTAAATAATAGAATGGAATAAATCACAATTAATCTTTTTCATTAAACCAAAAAATGAAACAACCTCTCCAGATACTTCCTTTCAACCCTTCAACAGAGAGAATAGAAAGGGATAAGAGATCATGAAGTAAACGAGAGAAAAAAGACTCAGAAAAGCTAGAGAGTATCATATAGCTTCAGTGTACAGCAACCACGAAGCATATTGGGGTTCATTTCCCCCTGCTTGTAACAAGTTTTCACGTTCTTGACACCACAAAGATTTTGTTACCTGGGTTTCATTTTCTTTATCATATAAGGAACAAATCAACGTTCATAAACACTCAATCTCATTCATTCATCATAACAGAAAGTATGCTATCAACAAAGCTATGAACCCGGTTTAGGATGTACTACCATCAAATAACTATTGAGGTATCCCAACTCTGAGATATAAACAGAACACAAAACAGAAATAAAGTGACTCAAGATGAAGGAAAAACTCTCACAGTAGTAGTAGCCCGCATAGTAACTAAAACAATCACCGATTACAAAGCATATATAGGTTGATTCTTTAATGATGTTTTGTTGGAGGATATGTAGGATTTACTTTCTTCCTGTCTGGAAGGACACAATTGAATCTCCAAGTTGAATTACAAGTCTGTGGTATAAAGCAGACGTTCAAGGAATCAACGCTTTTGCATGTTTCCTAACCATCACCAATTCAAGCCACACGATGGTGGACAGCTTAACCTGCTGCTTGGAAATCGCCAAAATCATCATCTGGTACATCCTGTGTGCTTTGATCTTCAGGAGAATTCTCGTGTTCTGGGTCATCTTCAACCGTTTTTGGAATATCAGCATTAAAAGACTTATCAAGGCTTAGCTTTGTAGGTGAGTCTGTTGGAGACTTCTGCGGGGTGACAACAGGTGAAGGTGGTGCTGGAGGAGGTGGTGGTAACTTAATACTAGTTAGAGATTCTTTTTTTCCATTCCTTTCTTCTGGGGATTTGTTCAGACCCTGCTCAAAAAACTTGGACTTCACACTGCTGTCACTTTTCTGCGTGCAAAAGATAAGAAATAATAAATACAATGTGCTGAAAAAGAAAACAGCATCGTTCACAGGAGCAAAATGCAGAATTTCATACATTGGTCTTAATTTGCAGCACAAGAGTCTCTCCTTCTTTCAGACTGTAATCAACCGAGGAAGTTTGCTGGTAATGTTGTTCCATTTCCTCAGCAGTTTTCTTTTTATTCAGATATCTTTCAAAAATTTAGGAAGAGACGTGCTTTCTATTTGTTAAAAAATAGTATGAGGACCTCCGTCCTCTAAGCCAGAATGAATGAAAAAATGTTTAAAGGCTGCCAAGTTTTGCAGATGATGAGATCACGAGATATATGTAATAAAAATAATAAATATAATAAATATAGTTAAAGGAGGATACTTCATATGATCATGTAAGGCAGCTTGGAAGTCATAAGCCTCCGTTCTTTCTCGGAATCCTATGCCAATAAAAGCATGTCGGAGGCGACCACCTGCATGATTCTCAAGTGATAAAGACCAAACGTCGTCTCTAATATGAAATAGAGGGCAGCAGAACTACCAAAACAAAATTATATTATATAAAGCCTGGTCATTGTGATATTTTAAAACAATTAGTGCAATAAAGCAAGATTATGACCACTAGGTCATGTCATTAACTGGAATTTATAGACAATCTGTGCAGTAAATCTGGAGACTATCTGTGCAAAAACACAGACTATATAGACCTTATTTGGATATTTTTTTCTATAAACAAACACATAAGGGAAGAGAAGAAAAGAAAATAAGAAAGTAAAATGAATTAAACTTCTCCCACAAGTTAAAATTAGCTTTGATAAAGCTAAACGAGAGAAGTTATACAGGTTGAAATGCACAAGTTCATTTTATCTTATGGGAAAAAGTTTAATTCATTTTATTTTCTTATAGTCAGTATCTATAGATAAGTTAATCCACATAAGACCCAAAAGGTAAACAGAAAAAACTAGTTTCCTATAGCAGTCTAAAACAAAACAAAAATGCTTGCAAGCTTCTCAAAGCTTTTACAAACAAGCCAGATTCATGACAAATACAAAATAATTGATCATGACGATGATTACTGATACATACTTTGATAGCATAGCAAGCTGAATTTTTTATTCTATTTTATGAGAAGTAGAAACTAATTTATCATTTCAAATTACTTCAAATAAACAGTTATTTACATTAGATTGTACTATACACTTCCTTTACAAGTCCTACCCTGCTACCCAGCACATAGACAATAAGATGATTAAGAGAAGAAGCACAGAAATATGCAGATATTTTGACTCACCTATGTTCTCTTCAATGCGAAGAACAAAGTATCTGCAGAATACATAAGTATAAGCAGTTCTGAAGTGCAAAAAGGTATGGTAACAAACAACTTAAACTATCAACAGTCTGCGAAAACCACCTGCTGCTGTCAATAACAGGCTCCACTGGATGCGGCTCTCCATTTCTTAAAAATGCCCGAGCATATAATTCACCTAGTTATATATTTCATCATAAAATTAAAAAATAAAGAAAAAATTATACATTCTATTAGAAGCAGATTCGATGTGGTCTTACCTGAGCTCTTATCTTCAAGTTTTATGATGCATTCTTCTCCCTTGCTAGTGACCTTCAATATCCCCTCCCATGCCCATTTGTTGACATCCCATTCATCAGCTCTGAAATAAATTTCACAAATATAAAAATCCAGTAATCACACACTCCAAAGCAGGAAAACATGTCACCAAACTTCCAAAATCAGAAAACCAATTTCTTCAGAAAGAACATTAACAAAGCCAATGAAAGACACAAAATAATTAAAAGCATAGCAGAAGTGATAAAACAGATCTAACACGCTGAATAGCACCACTTCTTTACAAAGGTAGAGTACATTAACAACTTCAATAACGCCAAAGATACCCTAAATAAATCACAAGCATCACACATCAGCTGATCACAAACCTATATGAAGCTGCCCTCTTTCTTGGAGGTATCTGCATACATAGTAGAAAATCATCATTAGCTTTTACACCACGAAAATTTTCAAATTCCAACCGACCCATTCACAGAAAATTCAACTTTAAATAAATAAAAAAAAAAAAACTAAAGCAACATTCAGTGCCATCATAATTCCTAAACAAGCTTAAGTTATTAATCAGCACACTAACTTGAAACTTGATCATCTGCACACCCCCACTAAGCTGTAAATTGAAATCACACCCCTCTCAAAACCCATTGCCCAAAATCGAATTTTGAGACAAACCTACGAAGAGAAAGACGGAAGACTCACTATGTAGACGTAACACTCAGGCACTTGAAACAGAACGAGCTCGATGGGTTCGGCTTCTTCGATTTCGCCTCCACTTTTCTGAATGCCTGGTTCTTTCTCCTCCTTCTCCATGATTCGGAGGCACAGAAAGATCGAAAATTTGGAGATGTAGAATTAGGGTCTGAAGAAAAGCGATCTGGGTCTGAAGGAGAAGTAGATTCGGAGATAAACCTTGCCAAAAGGGATTCAATTTGAGATTAGGGTTTGGTTTGAATTTTTTTTTCTTTTTTTTTTGTGAAGAGAGAGAAAGTGAGTTAAAGGAAGAAGGGTTGTCTCTGCTTGGTTCGTTCTGAGGAAGGAGATGACGCTGCACCCAAACGGTTCTGCATCGGAGCAATGGGCACCCTCAGATTGGAAAGTTTTTGGGATCCAACGGTGTGATGGGTATGGACTGACTCGGGCACTGATTTCTTGCTTTGTTTTCAAGTCAACAAAATAATAAATCCAATAACCAATATTACCTGCAAAATATTATTGAGAGAATAAAGAGGAATATGCTCTACAAAATTTCTGATTTCGTAATTTTATT